TCGGGCATTTCAAGGCAAGCTGCAGCTCCGGGAGCGGCAGATAGGAGAGCAAAAGCTTGATCACTTTTCAACTCTGAAGTCGCTGGGGCACACGGATCAAAAATCTTGTGGAATCTTTTCTGAGCTTCTCGCAGTCTTCAAAAAAAATTTGAAGAGTGATTTCAAGACGTAAGCAGCCTCTCCAAGGACTTCGAAGTTTTCTTGTTGCCCTTCTCGGTGTGGGCAGATGATGTCGATCCAGAGTTCCAGATGAAACTTCTGTAGCTGCAGGCTAACAATACACTGAGGCAAAAGTTCCAGGACGTGGGAATGCCACAGTTTTTCAAGTGTCTGGACAAAGGATGCTTCCCGGCTCTATGCCAACGAGCAGCGAGGATCATCGCCATGTTCGGGAGTACCTACTTGTGCGAGCACCTTTTCTCCTTGCTAAAGGTGAACAAGTCAACACTCGAGTCAAGAATAACAGATTAACATTTGCGATCGACCATGAGGATCGTCTCTGTGCAAGAGCTAAAATTAAGGCAGACATTTCTTCGCTTGCTGCAGCAAAGCGGTGTCAGGTGTCATGTAAGCATATTTAAAACTTGATGCTTTCATTTTTTGTTTTGCATGAAATAAACCTATTTCGACTTCCTTCATCTCCCTATTTTATGACGCATTGTGAGTTATGACACTTTTTATGCGAGTAAACTTGCAAAACGTTTTACCCCCCCTTTCCACTCTGTCCTGGGGCCCCAGCCCTTGGGGTATTCAATTTTGTCTATGCGGCCTGCTTCTTGAAATGAGTTCAAGTTTACTGCTTTATACCTAAAGATATATAAAAGGATTTATTCATACCTTGGGGGCATTCATAAAAGAAATTGTGTAAAAATAAATTTCACTTGGGGATCACGTTAAAATGTGGAAACCTTTATGAAAAAGTCATTTATCAGAAAGGAGTTTGGCTTCGTGTTCAGGATATCCTTGGAAAGTATTGAAATGTGGACATTAAAAAGCCCTCGGGTGGCGGGTCACTCGCTTTTTTCTGCTGCGTGGCTGGCACTGCATGCTCCCGTTGGTAGCACAGCCCCTTCAGCCCTTTCCTGCACATTGTGCCTGTGCAACAGTGATGTCGATCACAAAGATTTCTACCAATACATCTTGCTGAACGAGTCTGCAGAGTACAATAACCCTGTGCTCAGCAGACTCCGCCGCCCACACTGTCCACGTAGACTGTGCACACACAGTGCACATACCGTGCCCAGTATTTGAAAAAATTAGTCCTGTATTTGCAGGCATGGCATTATACAACAGTGGTGTATGGAATAGGATCGTTTAACCCCCCCCCTTTCCCTTCCCCCTTAACCCCAAAAGGATCCAGCCCCTCCCACCCCTTTTCACACCCAGTTACATTGACATTGCCAGTGTCTTTTATCTTCATTGTCATATAATGCATAGAGTACAGTATTAAAGGGACTATGAGGCAATTTCAAATTTTTTAAAAAGAAGGTATTTTCAGAAGCATTGCCGTCCTAGCGTGCCACTAAATTTTTTTTAGAACTCCGTGACTTATCTTTGTGCTTACTAGTAAATTTGTTAAACCGAAACAAACATTTGGACCCGACGTCGAGGAGCACTGTTGGTTTTCGGTAAGATTTAGTGGACGCTCCGCGCGGTTCCCGCGGTTGGCTTTTTGGAACTCCAGCCCACCGCTCACCCTCTTGCGAACAAGTGGAGAACCAGAGGAGCGGGAACAGCGGCTTAGACAACGGGAGGGACCATTGCGTTTGGTGCTGCCATTCTGATCGGCGTGTTCGTGCATCATGTAGTTTTTCAAGCAAAAAGCAAGTGCGTTAAAACAGGCATTGTTGTGGTCTGCTTTGCAACAGCATTGCACAAAGAAACCGGGGTGTCTCATATCATCAGGAACTTTCCGTAGATCGCATAGGCTGCGGATTTCGGGTCCTGAGGTTGCCAACACAACCCGTGCTCAATGTGACGGCAAAACCTCCTGCTAGTAGTGCAAAGCTCTTTAGTCTGATCTACGAAAAGTTTATTCTTTCCAGAAAGTAGGAGAGAACCGCTCGCGCAACGGTGTATAGAGCAATACACATCGGGAATGGGTTTGCATTTTATGCGCCAAAAGGCTGTGACAAGAAACATGACAGTTTTCTCCAAGCACTAACAAAAGACAGACTACGCAAACCTTATTCCAGTTATTACAAAGGCAATTAAAGAGCGCCTACCATCGTTTTTCACTCTGTCCTTGTTTTTCGTGCTCAAATGTATGTAATGAACTTACTAGACCAACCCACCATTTTGTTGCAAATAAAGAAATGCTTGTAGCAGTTTTAAGCTTGTCTGTGTGCTGTTTGTGAGGCATGCTTAGAACGAGTACCATAAAAACCCACATATAATACGAGGTTTTTATTCAAACTTTACCATGTAAAATTTGCGGCTCATATTATACGCGGGTCCCGACAATTTTGAGCTTCGATGAGGCACGATCTAACGCAGTTTGAGGTAGTTTCGGTTTCGAAGCAATATGGCGTTCAAAAAAGCTATCATCATCATTAAAATCACAATGTCTGAAGCGCCACCACTCGTCCACAGTCAGGTCAGGTAGGTAATGGCATCGGCGCACAAACAAAACTTGGCCGCCTTCAAAAAAAGTCATTTTAGTAGCGGAAGACATCGGCAAGAGTGCTGCCAGTTCGCCGTAAATGAAGGCAGCATCCGCGGATGGAGAGGACAAAAGCAAGCTCTGTTCACGTGCAACGAAACGAGAAGAAGCGCCGACGTCGAGGCAAGTCTCAGGGACTTTGTAAAAGAGCAACGTAAATGGCACCTCGCCGTAAACATCGAGCTGCTGCAAGAGAAGGTGAGAGAACTTTGGCGAGCCAACATTTGGTCGCTCGCTTTCCGCTTTTCACTGCGTCGGCGCACGCTCGTCGCTCGCTCTTTCAAGAAGTGCGGGATTTCAAATGCGCTCGACGGCACTGAAGACGTCTGTCTGCCTTTGGAAGGAGGCGTCGGAAGGAGTCTGATGAAAGTGATGACAGTGATTAAGGTTCAATTACGACGCAAAAAAGCCGTCTTTTTAAGACTTCCTGGGTTGTATTTTATGTGGAAAATTTTCGTGTTCCTTAAATTGTTTCATATTATACGCGGATAAAACTTTTTTCTTTTTTCGCAACCCTCAAGTCATGCCTCGTATTATACGTGGGTTCGCATTGTACGCGGGTTTTTACGGTAGTTTTGGTAAGGCGGTCTCGATGATGCAAACAACACGGTACAGAGGTGAAACATACTGCATATGAATAGCCAAAAATAAAAACTGCAAACACGCCGATAGCGCTATTATGCAGTTCTTGCATAGCGTTATCATAGGCTACCCTAACGACAGTAACACTCCTGGCACGCGCTGAAAATCAATTGTCAAAGGTGCAGCGCAAACTTCTCATCGCAATGCCTCACTGTACGGTAGCCTGCGGCTATGCTATGCTAAAACTGCCCATTAGTAACCATGACGAAGGTTGATAACGTGCTGCAATGCACGAAAGCCACGACGGTGTGCAGTGAGCTGTGAGCCACTGTCACATTAAATACTGTGAGCAGTGCTCTATTGAAGCTTGACGGTAATAATGCACGGCTCACATTTTAGATCCCTGGTGGCCAGGCACAGAACTAACACCACAATATTTTCGCCATACAAAAATATTTTGCCACACACAATGATGTGACTGGCGCCCAAAGCACGCTCGCCTTCCACGAAGTGTTGCAACTTCTGTAATGTTATACAGTTCTAAAAAAAAACATACTGGTTTTCTTTACGTATGTCAACACCTCGGTCACCTGTTACATGCTCCTGTCCTGACCGTTTCGCATTCGTGGCCACATAAATTGTATTTAAGCACACTGACCTGCATCAGCGAGCGGGAGCATGGAAAATCTATTTCCGTCTCTTCCGCCATCTCGAAACTACTGACAAGCCATCTATAGGGCATTGGGAGTGGCAAATAGTTTACTGCGGCCTGTGAACTGGGAAAGTGGACGACGACGCCGTGCTTGCAGACAGGTTTGAGCTCCCGTTCAACGACCTCACGCCGACGCTATGGAAGATGTTCTCAGGACGCGAAACTCTGGAATGGTGTTTTACGAGGGTGCCCCGGACTTGCTGCCTACACCTTGGCCGCCGCCGGCACCACCTCAGAGCGGGCGACTCCTTTGACTCGCCGACGCCGATGCAACGACAAGAGCGCATCATTTGTTTGAACTAATTGCCTAGCGAAAAGCCCGTTCTCGTCATGCTTCGATGTCACACAGTGCAATCTTCTGGCGCCGTTTCGGGGGGTCTCAAGCATCTTCCCAGCATGATTATTACCACACCTGTTTAACTGATGTGTGCGGCACCCAAATGTCTGTTTGGGCTAGAACTTGGTCAACAATGTCCGAGAAGTGCCTGACGCCCATTTCAATCATCAAATAAAACTTCCAAACTGCCTTGATGGTCCCTTTAAGGAGAGGTCATTAAAATTTGTTTAGAAGACATTAAACAGTTGTTTTGGGGAGTGAAGATGAACTTGTGGCTCATTAATTTCGATGCTAAATTTAGCAGGCAAACTAAGTTGGCGCACTGGTCACAAGACATTGATTTCCCCACTACGTCTGTAGGATAAACTGAATAGGTATGTGGGACATGAGACATAAATTTTTCTACAAAATTTAGCGGGGAAACTGAATTGAAGTTTAAGCTAAGTCACGCAACATCAATTTCCCCGATAAGTTTAGTTGGAAAATGTATGGACAAACAAATTTCTGGGATTAGGGGATTCCATTAAAAAGCATTCCACACCTTAAAACATTCCAAGCTAAGTGGTCGTAATAGATATCAGTGGGACATTGTATAAATCAACAGTCCGCAAAACTGGAGGTGTGATTTCTGCTGTACGTGCACACATCTGCCGACAAACCCAGGGTCAACAGACATCATCATTAGAGCACAAGGAGAAGGCACTGACCCGGCCTCGTCGGCCACCTGGTGCATGAGCCCCTCCACCTCGTGCTGGGGCGCCGTCACCGTGGTCGTGTGGCTCATCGTGTCCTCCATGCAGCCCGACTGCACGTCCAGGTCCTCAAACTGCTTCTCAAACTTGTCCATCAGGCCGGAGATCTGCGGGCACAAGACACACAAGCAACGGTCGGCAAGGAGCCCACTACGAGTATGCCACAAACTCTTGGCAAGAGGTGCAACACTTTTCCCAGTTCCGTAATTGTTTAAAATTACTACCGTATTTACTCGAATCGAACGTGCCCTCGATTGTAACGCGCACCCATTTTTCGAGGTCCGAAATAAAAAAAATAAAAATAAAAAAGCGATGACCTTGATTGTTACGCGCACCAGATTTTCTAGGTTGGATACAGAAATGAAACGTTGTTCTCACTTGGAACAACGAAGATTTATTCCAAATGCTTCAATCTTGCGATGAAATGAATGGCGCTGACTCTCGCCGGCAAGGTCGTCATCATGACAACGGTCCGGTGCAGCGCCCGTGGGGCGGTATGCATCACTCGTCATCGTTGTCGGACGACTCCTTATCGCTGTCAGCGGCCCAAAGCGTTTTATCTTCTGTGCCGTCCATAGCGTTAGAAATTCTGCACTTCTTGAAGGCCTTGATAACCATGGCAGACAGGATTGTGCGCCACGCATCTTTCGGCCATCCGACGAAATCCTGCAGCGACGCAAGTTTCTGGAACACTAAACGCACGTGATGTGGGGTCGATTTCCATAGCTCTCCGCGCACAATATTACTTTTCTTTTGAACCCAGCATCATGGTGAACGCGGCGTGTCTTTGCACTGGTAATTTGCACGCTGATACGAACGCAAGAAACGAGCTGGCTACGCTCTAAGCTCCTCAGAGTGCAATGGAGTGGCCATTTTGAAATGTCGATGGCGATATCGTAGCGCAGTTTTGGGTCGCACTCAATTCTAGCGTGCATTCGATTTTTGGACCTATTTTCCCGGAAAAAAGGTGTGCGTTAGATTCAAGTAAATATGGTAACCGGTACCTACTATAGTCCCTGACAAGACAAGACTGGGAAGGAAGTCCTTCGGTTGTTCTGCCTCCAGTGTGAGCTTCCTATCTTTGCCAAAGCTTCGGAGTCTCAAGAGCATCGAGTGTGCACGCGCAGCTGAAGCACAACAGAAGACAGTGAGCGCATGCTGAGGCCGAGCGTCCGAGGGACAAGACCTGCATTCTTATCATGTTGGCGAATATAACTCGGCTTTCAACCGTGCGTATTTACTCGAGCAAGAAACACCACTCGTGAACAAGCCCTGCGCATCTTGTTTTCTGCAGAGCATGCGTAACAGCCGATCCTCACGTTGTATGTAAGGAACATGGTGAACGACGAGGTAAAGGAAACAATTCTCTGCCGAAATGAAATCTAAGCATATACCATTTTTGAGTGTGGATATTATCCTCGTCCTGTGACCTGCCATCGATCGCTACGATTGGGCATTCGCACGGTTTTGTGGAGAACTGAAGGCAAAAGACTCGTTCATAAACAGTCTCCATTCCAGCGTCAGCTTCCCCAACTGCACCACCGATTTCTAGACAACTGTAAAGTTTTGACAAGCCGTCCCCCCAAGATGAAGATGTGAACTGGGAAAATATGGGTGGGTAATTTTTCATCATGTGGTGGCGAATTGTAATACAAAAAAAGAGCAATTAACACGTGGGCACCCGCTGCAAACTCGCACAAACGACAAACCGACACCGCAGATTGCGGACACAATGAACTCATGTTCCACGGTGCTCTACTTCAGCTCGACGAACGTTATGACAAGCTATTTTATCGATCAAACAAAGAGTAGTATTTAATATGTCTAACAAAACTTGTGTGTTAGCAAAGGTTAGGGGGCACTGAAACAAATTCGGTGTCCCGTAACCGTCGCTGTCGGTTAGGGGACACAGAATAAACTGCGTACGGCAGCTTTGACTGTGCGGCCTTGCCACGACTGGATTGAAAAGATCCCGTGCATCACCATAATATACGTGCGAGCTAGCTCAATTTCTCTGACAGCCAACACTGACGAGAATTGCCATGCTCTATCAGACGGTGTTCGTGTGTTGTCTGCTCCTCCTACCTCCCGACGGTACTCCATCGGAGCCTGTTTTGATCTATGGTCTGCAGACGGTGGACATGAACTTTGAGCTGCTTCTCCGACTAAGTTTAGACTTTCGCTCCCGCGGTGGTGTCGCAATACCCTGTCCCAAACCAATTTCAACAGGTACGATGAAGAGAAAAAAGTGAAAGCCGTTTACAACTCCCTGTAACGCCGAATTGGAGCGCAGCTCTTGAGGAGGAGGAGGGAAGGGTACTGGGGGGTGGGTCAAGTGACCTCGGGGGGCGGGGGGTCACGTGACCTTGGGGGTCACGTGACCTTGTGGGAGTCAAGTGACCTTGGGGCGTCACGTGACGTCGGGGGGGTCACGTGACCTGGGGCCACGTGACGATACCGATGACGTCATCAGTAGCGTCACAGATGACGCCATCAGTGATGATGATGACGATGCGGATGCCGGTGACGTCATCAGTGACGTCACTGATGACGTCACCGGCATCCGCATCGTCATCGTCATCATCACTGATGACGATGCGGATGCCGGGGACGTCATCAGTGATGATGACGATGACGATGCGGATGCCGGTGACGTCATCAGTGGCTATGACGTCAACGGGGGGTCACGTGACCTCGGGGGGTATCCCCAGGTCACGTGACCCCAGGGGGGGTCACTTGACCTGGGTAACCATCGTGACCCTCGTGAGGGTAACCCTAGTAACCCTTGTGAGGGCAACTCTCGTGACCCTCGTGAGGGTAACTCTCGTGACCCTCGTGAGGGTAACTCTCATAACCCTCGTGACCCTCGTGAGGGTAACCCTCGTGAAGGTTACCCTCACGAGGGTTACTAACCCTCGTAACCCTCGTGAGGGTTACGAGGGTAAGTAACCCTCGTGAGGGTAACTCTCATAACTCTCGTGACCCTCGTGAGGGTAACCCTCGTGAAGGTTACCCTCACGAGGGTTACTGATCCTCGTAACCCTCAAAAGGGTTACCTTCACGAGGGTTACCCTCACGAGGGTTACTAACCCTCGTAAACCTCGTGAGGGTTACAAGGGTAAGTAACCCTCGTGAGGGTTACAAGGGTAAGTAACCCTCGTGAGGGTAACCCTCGTGAAGGTAACCCTTTTGAGGGTAACTAACCCTCGTAACCCTCGTGAGGGTAACAAGGGTAAGTAACCCTCGTGGCCCTCGTGATCCTCGTGAGGGTAACCCTCATGAGATTAACCCTCGTAACCCTCGTAACCCTCACGAGGGTTACGAGGGTTGCGGTTACGCCGACGCCGACGCCGACGGCGACGCCGCTCAAGCCGGGAACGGGCCCCTAAGAGCTGCGCTCTAAAAAATCGTGAAGTATTGGCTAGATGCTGGCTGGCTCTGCGTACCTTTGTGATTTTGGAGACCAAAATAGAGATTGCTGGCTCTGGTGCTGCACGCCTAGTACAGTCGGTGGCAATGCAAGCTGGCCCCATTTAGTGAGAGCCGGAAAAAGTAAAACGCTGCACGGGGTGTCTCCGGCAGGTTGAGCTGTGAGATCGACTGCCACGATGCAACGATGGGAAATGCGGTCATCCGTTCCAACCTCATTTTAGATGGCTTGAGGTACCCGTGGCTCTCCGCATGGCCTTCGTGTTGCCCTGACCCAAAAGCCGCAGCGCCAGCTCCCATTGGTGCACCTGTACCTCTGCCCAGTGTCATTATTCTGCCAACTAAAACTGCCATATGCAAAAACTCGTGTTTACATACAAACTGGCGTACCCCTAGTGGCACCAATTCCACCATACGTTCACGACGTGGTGCAGGCAAGAAGCACAGTGTTCCCCACCAACAAACCGTTGCGAAACAATGTTGCGAGCATCGATGCGAGTCCCACACTTTTTGGGGGGATTGAAATTGTTGACTCCAAGTCTTTTTTCAAATGTCCGATAACTTTAGTGACCTCAGTGAAATGGACAATGCTCAATACAGTGCAAAATTCGGCATGAATGGTGTGGGGTACAGTGATCTACCGGTGTGAATGCTGCAGAATGGGTGCTAGAGCTAGATTCACGTGGTGCGATTCTGCTCGCGATTTTCAGTTGCGACGTTACTCGTTCTGCAAAAGATGCGTCCACAAAAGCTGCATTGTTTTCACAGCCACAAATCACAAGCAGAATCGCACCACATAAATTAGGCATTAGGAGTTTGCAATTGTCACCAGTGACAATGGCTAATGTCACCTTGTATCTGCAGTTTATGCCAAGCCGATTTACCCCAGTCAACGTCCCTGTTATGAAGTTTTTGCCAGCTTAAACTAACTTCATAGCACTGTTAGCTTCTATGAACGCGACAGTTCTTGACGTTACTCCCATGTTCGTGTTGGAACCATGAAAATGAATGATACAGTAAAAAGTGTCACTGAATTAGTGGCGGATCCAGGGGGGGGCCCCGGGGGCCCGGGCCCCTCCCAAGACATATCAGCACCCCCCACCCCCGGCGATGCTGCACGGACTCCGCAAACCAGAACCTGGCGTGAACCTCCGACGAATTCGAAACATCTGTATCCGAACACAGACGACTCAAACTCATTTCCTGCGACTTGCTAGTAACATGATAAGCAGGGAACCCAAGTGTCAAAGCGCACCTGCGTCCTCGTGACTATGCAGCATAGAAAAGAAAAGAATGTGTCTGTCTCCATCTGACAATGGGCTTTAGAGTAGCGACCGTCACCACCAACCTCGGAGGGCATTGACCGACCAGAGGGTATTAAATGTCACCAAACCCAAACAGAAGAAAGGATGTCGAAAATAAGCAGAGTTGGGCACAACAGAAATATAAAACCATTCTGTGGGCATCAGGGCATCTGATCTTCGAGGATCATTACCTACCTTCGAGCACCCTGTCCAGACAAGGTGCATTCGAGCTACCATTAGCACTTCTGAGTGGGAAAGGCTACAGATCACCAACTTGGAAAACGTTTTGTTGCCATTCCTAAGAATTCATTCGAGAGGCAAAAAGGGGGAGCTAGCATTATTGTGAACAATTTCAAAGTTATTGGCTGTCGCTC